GTTGAGAAAAGCTGCCAAAGGATCTCCCCAGATCTTCCCAGATTTTTGGGAGACAGAGTAAACTGCAGAGAAGAGAGCTTGCATAGAGTTCTTCTCTCTGCACCCCTAATCCTGTGGTAAATGCAAACCCATTGTTGGAAGAAATATTAATCTGGTTCCATTCCAAGATGGGAGAAAGGCACTGGAGACAAAAGGGAGGCTGGAGGCTGATTGGAAAGATGATTTAATGATGAAGCAGAACCACATGGATGGTCCTGAACAGGTGACCACATGGAGTTGAGAGTGAGGGGTTTTTATACTTCTCTTGGGTTTTGCACTTGAGCTTCCTGATCCTGTGCAAGATCATGTATTTTATTGGCTGTTGTCAGACTCCCTTGGTGCCATGTAGGGGTTATGTAGGGGTCATAGCTGGCTCTAAAGGCAAAGTACAAATCCTAGGTGTTTGTCTGAGCTAAGTTTGTTTGAAGTTTGGAGAGTGGTGCAATAATTCCTATTATGGCTTAATGGCTTTGTCCTGTATTGGCTCTTGTGTGAAGACTAATCTGCCTTTGTTCACACTTTGCTGCAAGAAGTAATGGATTACCAAATCTGCATTTCCCAAAGCTACCCTAGCTCAGTACCTGCTTGGGGGCAGGGAGCTGGGGCTCTGAGTTTCTGTCTCTCTTAATATTTTTATTGCTCTTTTAGGGGAAATATTTTATCCTGCCTTTTTAAATATTTCATTCTTCTAGGAGAGAGGTGAGTGCTAGCTTTCTACACCATCATTTGCAAGCTTGTAGATGTCTCCAAACTTGATTTCTCCAAATAGATTTCTCCAAAGTTGAATTCTACTAATACTTGCCAAATATTTTGTTTCTCACCATCCTTGATCTAGTATTAACATTCTCATATCCTTGCATCAGAGACACATTTTAATAATCTTTTCAGTAAATACTATTCAATGCACATATCTCCATGAAGTCATTTATTTTCTCTCTGATTGATGACGAGTGCAAATATTTGTGCAGAAACCTTTTTAGAAAATGTTAATCAAAGCATCTCGTGGTTCGGGGGGGAAAAGCATTCTTGTTCGGGGGGAAAAGAGACAAAAGGAGCACAAGCTTTTAAGCAACAGGTTTCCTTTCAGTAATTGGTCAGAGATTTTGGTGGTGTGGAGTGTTGGTTTAAAGCAGTGATGGCTAGCCTTTTTGTTGTTGGGTGCCAAAAATGCAAGCGCGCATGTGCAATAGCATGCGTGCATGCCGTCATCCATAATGCAACGCGCGCCCCCACATGTGCATGCACGCAGAACCCCACCCCAAGCTCCCCCACAAGTGCTGCACTGCTAGCTTCCAAGCTGAGCTTGGTATTTCCTCTGGGGGGGAGGAGGCCATTTTCACCCTCCCCAGGCTCCAGAGGCTTTCTGGAGCCTGAGGAGGGTGAAAACGGCCTCCCCCAGCCTTCCGGAGGCCCTCTGGAAGCCAGAAATGGAGGCTTTCCTGAAGCCTGGGAAGGCAAAACCGGCCTCCCCTGGCCCTCCAGGTCGAAAATCGGTTGACCGGCACGCATGCGTGCTACAGCTGACAGCTTGTGTGATGGCAGATATGGCTTCACATGCCACCTGTGGCACCCATGCCATAGATTTGTCATCACGGGGCCAAAGCATGTGAAAAAATGTATACTATGGTAGTAGTATCAACAGTGTATTTCCTCCTATGTAACACAATACTGGCCGCTTGTGGCCAAATGGTGTAATTTTATTACAATGCTGCCTGAAAATGCATAATCCAAACAGCAGAGACATACTGTAAGTTCTGCATTGCAACCAGAGGTCATTGTATTGTGTGAATAAATGCAAAGCAATAGTGTGTATCACAAAACCAAGTAGCAATTATTTCCATTGTTTAAATAGGAACATTTCAGATTATCAGCTAAAAGTCGCATCTCTAATTTGGGTGGTTGTGTCATAGCAATAGGATGAACTAGTGCTAAGTCACATCAATTGTTTTAAAGCTTATGGTTGAATAGGAATGCTAAAAAGATAGTATTTTAGGAGATAAAAGACCCAATCACCTAGAAATGTATTTACCCAGTCATGTAAAACAACCAGGGATCTTGAGATTTACAGGCTTATTATATGATCTGATATGTGATAGTTTTAATTCTGTAGGGTTTTTTTTTAAGGAATTATGGGGTCATAAAAAGAGAGTGAATATATTTATAGTGTCTAATTGCTTTTAGCTGTAGAGGAATATATTTTGTAAGATGAGTGACAATATAAATCATTTCAGTAAAGAAATATTCACTAACATGACAGCAGCCAGGAATTCAAAGAAATTTAAGGAGGGTTCAACCAAGTTAGCACTGAGATAGAAGACCACCAGGAATCTTACAATGATATGCAAAACGGGGACACCAGAAAGACATCCCAAGAAGGCAGCCATGGCAAACCTTTGCCAAGATAATTTCACAGTACGTGTACAGGCAATCATCAACTTAAGACCACAATTGAGCCTAAAAATTTCTATTGCTAAGTGAAACATTTGTTAAGCGAGTTTTGCCCCATTTTATGATTCTTTTTTCTTGCCACAGTTAAGTGAATCACTGCAGTTGGTAAATTAGTAACACGGTCGTTAAGTGAAACTGGTTTCCCCGTCTGCTTCTCAGGAGGTTGCAAAAGGTGATCACATGACCCCTGGACACAACCGCCACCATAAAGATGAATCATTTGGCAAACATCTGGATTTTGATCATGGGACTATGGGGATGCTGCAATGGTAACTGTGGAAAACAGTCATAAGTCACTTTTTTCTGTGACGTTGTAACTTTGAACGGTCACTAAGTGAACTGTCAAGGACTACTTGTTGATCTCAGAAGTTTAATCCAGCTTCAAAAAACAATCGTTGTCATCTACCCCAGAGGTTAAAATTGATGAAAGAAGATGTCCTCAATCAGGAGTTGAAGCTTATAACAGTAGAAAAATTGGTTATCTTTCAATGTCTATGTGTTGCTTTGATAATATTTGTTTGGAATACAGCCCATTCCTGAATGCCTGCTACTATAGTACAGTATGTGTCTCCAAAAGTTACTATACCCTGCATTACAGAGCATTCAACAGTCATCATAAATCATGTGGTGGAGAAACTTCGGCAGCACTTAATGAACCTAGGCTGAACTGGAAAATGTAAGCAAAGTTGGACTTGATTAGGGGATCTTAATGGGACTGAATGGGAGACCACCAAGATAGCACAGGATTGTTGGCTAGGCAAGGAAATGTTATATTAAACGTTATAATATGAATGACCAATAGGAGGCACTACACAACCAGTTACAACCCTATTGACTTTTTGTGTAGGCTAATGATTACCAGGCCAAAATAGGCCTAAAGCTAAATGCACCATGTAGTTAAGTTTTGGGTTCAAGGGTTAAACATAGAACATCTAGCATGAAGAATATCTATGTCTAAGAGCCACATACTGACTCCTTCTGTGCAATAGGTAATATAACATTTAAAGCACGATGCCCCCACCCTCTGTTTTAAGGGGAAACAATCTTGATGCCTGTATATGAGACTCAAACCAATACTTATCTCAAAATTCTCCAGCAGCAAAACAAACTTAAAAAGAGAAAGGCGTGCCTGCATAGCTTCTTTAAGGCAAGGAAAATAAAACACATCTTAGAAAAAAGGAATGTCAAATATATTTTATTACCAAATAAATTAAACTTCCAAGAATCAAGCTTGATCACAGAAGCCTTTATTTTTTTAGGGTCTGGGAAAGCACACACACCAAACACAACATGTCTTTTAATAGCTGCACCTATAACTAAAAATAGGTGGACCCACTCTCTTCAAAGTAAAAGCTATGCAATATGATAGATGCAAGATTTCTGGGAAAAAAAACCAGATACCAAGTTTATAGAGACCAAATTAAAGGGTTTTTTTCATGGCTGCATTTGTAATCATGCACAATATTTAAAGATTAAATAGCTAGTTTATTTTCCATACATGCTTTCATAGAAGTAAAAATTGCAATGCTTAAACTCCCGAGTCAGGGGTGAATGGCAGCCATAATATAAGCTAACCAGTGGTGGGTTTCATTTTTTTTAGAACCTCTTCTGTAGGTGTGGCCTGCTTTGTGGGAGTGGCTTGCTGGCCATGTGACTGGGTGGGAGTGGCTTGTNGTATATAAGTCTAACTGCTATTGCTATTGCTAACCTGTATCTGCATAACTATCTGGTCTTCCCTTCCCCCTCCCAGCCCCAATTTAAATCCTATATTAGTCACTCTATGCCATAGCTGTCAAACTCCTGGCCTGCAGGCTGGATGCGTCACGTGCTGGCCATGCCCACACCCAGTTTAGTGAAGGGGGGAAAGTCCCTATATGTCACATGACGCTGCCGTGACGACGTGCATTTGACACCATTGCTCTATGCATCTTTTGAAATGAGCTGTAGCTCAGAAAAGCTTATGCCTTTCAATAAAATGTGTTGGGCTGTAAACACACTAACAAAGTCTTTCTGAGTTTTTGGCAATCGTAGGCTAACATAGCTCTCTTTCTACATTTATCTACATGTATTTGCAGGGATCAGTATTTGGCAAAATGTTCCTCTCAATGGGTTGCTTTTGAAGCAGGTGCGAGGCAAGATCAGCTTTTTAAAACAATTAAATCTATTATTCATATGACACTAGATCAGTGTTGCAGACCAGCATGCTAGCAAAAGCCTTATGGAATGTGTTACCCCAGCAAATCATGAGACTGTTGCAGGACAATAAACTCTAAAAGTTACGTGGCACCAAAATTACATAAGAAGAGATATTGATAGCAGTTTCTCTACTGGGAAGCAAAACACGCACAAGCACAAGTTAAATGTACTGGTGTTAAGCATACTCATTTGCAGACAATATAATTTCATCATTTGAGTTGTGTGCTGAAGAAGTAAATGGCCTACTTTGTAATTATTGTCATATGTACCTAATTCCTTTTTTTTCTTTTTCTTCCTTATTTCTATCTCCATTTTAGGTTTATAGCTAAGCCGTGTGCCTTAGGCTTAAAAGTCCAAGCCAATGGACCACAGAAGGCTCAGCCTAATGCTATTCTTGAAAAAGTCTTCACTGCCATCACAAAGGTACAATCTGTTCCTTAAAATCCTTTTATTTACTTTGGGCAAATGTAAAGGTTGTTCATCAAAGACAATGCAATTAATTATTAGGAATAGCTGTCTTGCTAGCATGTTAATTTGATAGCTATTGTAATGAATAATAGAAGTATCCTGCTAATTTCTCCCCACAAATGATCCAAGTGCTGCTATTACATAAGATCTGAGAGATTAGATATATTTGTAGCTCTGTGCTAGTTTGAAGGATGTACTTACTAATTATGGCAAGACACATTTGACAGGAGTAAGAAAAGAGGAAAAAAGTGTTTGGACCGAGTTGACTGGAAAAAAGATTTACAGGTAATCCTTAACTTACGACCACAATTGGAACCGAAATCTTAGTTGTTGAGCAAAGTGGTTGTTAAGCAAGATGCCACATGACTACCACAGTCCCAGCACTCCTGGAAACAAAGGATTTCTTTTCTGCCTCCACTTGGGAAAAGCTTTTATTGGGCTCCAGGAATTGAGTTAAAATCCTGTAGCCCAACCAAGGATTTGCCTTAGTGGTGGGATTCAATTTTTTTTACTATCAGTTCTGTGGGTGTGGCTTGATGGGTGTGGCTTGATGGGTGTGGCAGGGGAAGGATATGGTAAAATCTTCATTCCCTCTCCACTCTAGGGAAAGGTTACTGCAAAATCCCCGTTTCCTCCCGATCAGTTGGGACTCGGGAGGCAGAGAATAAACGGGGACGAGGCCAATCAGAGGTGGTATTCACCGGTTCTGCGAACTAATCAAAATTTCCGCTACCGGTTCTCCAGAACTGGTCACAACCTGCTGAATACCACCTCTGATTTGCCTCCTGTGGATGGAGAGGAGGATAAATCCTTTGTCAGACTGGATATTGCAGGTCTGAGATGGGGGAGAGGGGGGAATCTCAGCTCCATGCAGAGTATAATTCCTTCCCAATAGACAGCCTTTTCTCTCTCCAAGGAGCTGTTCTGCTGGGAGGGAATTTCAACAAAGAGCTGAGATTTCCCCCCAGCAGGCAGTTCTTTCAGCCGGGTCCCCAGAGAGAAGAGGAAGTCTTCTCAGTAGGCAGCAGCTGCTTGCAAGCTTCCCTGCAGGCTTCCCCATTGACTTTCTGAGGTAGCCAGCAGAAAAGATTGCAAATAGTGATCATGTGATCATGGGGCGCTTGGTAACTGTTTGTAAGCATAAACAAGTTGCCAGACACTCAGATGGCATTCCTATGACTGCAGAGGGGGAGGGGAGGTTTTACACGGCTGGAAGTGTTTATGGGCTATAAAGAACAATTTCCAAAGTTACCCTTTCAGAATGGTTGTTAAAAGAGACCGGTCATAAGCCAAGGATTACCTCTATTCATAGAACTGATATTGAAAAAAAGGGAAAAAAGGGGAGGGGGGAATCTGGAAGTTGTAACTGTGTAGTTCAAGAGTCACCTCCATTGGAGCCTGGCTGTGCCTGACTATAGCTGCCAGGTGTAGCAAGTCTGAAGTCAATATATGATTACCCAGTGCAGGCCTAGGATTGTGACAGAGGAGATGAATAGCTTAGAGGGACAAATATGAGGTACAGGAGTAAAATAAGGCGGGGTTCCCAACCCCTGGTCCGTAGACCGGCACCAGTCCACAACATGCCAGCAACAGTATCGTGCAAACAAGCAAAGTCCCATCTGTGAAATGCAGGCAGCACTAAAAGCACACTCCCTCTGCTCTGTGGAAAAGCCTTTCTCCATGGAACCAGTCCCCGATGCCCAAAGGTTGAGGGCTACTGTAGTAAGAGATAGGAGTAAGTCATTGCAGAGTACTACATTTCCAATCAGGCTCTCCAGTCCCATCTCATATGGATCAAATGTCTGGGCATGTTGTGCACAGGCCAGTGTTTTGGAATGCCAGGTCTGTCATACGTTCAATCCCATTCATTATCAGGAGTGGAAAATACATCTCACTGAGATTTATTCATACAGGTTTTATATGCTGCATCAGTCTTGACTCAGGGCAGGAGAGATGGCATGGCAGTTGTATACCAGGAGACCCTGGCATACAACTGTGTGAGGAGTGCTGTATTTGTGCGACTGGACCAGAACAATAAACTCGGGAAGGAGGGTACCATCCTCAGGGCTGTATAGCATTGTCCCTTCATGAGCCATTCAAAGGTGGTTATGGATTCCCTTGGTTGATAGTCCTGGGTGATTTTAAGTTCCCGTCTTTGAAGTCAAAACTGAATGAGGAATTGACCCAGTTCATCTCAGCTCCAGCCCACAAAACTGGCTGTATGTTTAATAATAATAACAATAACAATTCTTTATTGTCAGTGCACAATATATGTACTATGAGATTGGTTGAGTTCCCTCAGTGACCCCCCACGAACACAATACAACTCACAATGAAGAGAAAAAAATCCCTATCCCAATAAATAAACAAACACACAGTCCTATTACACCAGTGTAAACATGTTACACATTCTGCCGGTCCTGCAAGTCCATCATACTACTTAGTTATTATGTTATTTCACATTCAGGAGTCTGACAGCCTACGGATAAAAACTGTTCTTCAGCCTGTTTGTGTGGCTGGCTATGCCTCCTATATCTATATCTTCTTCCCGATGGTAGGAGGGTAAAGAAGTGCTGACCATGGTGTGAATCGTCCCTGAGGATTTTCCTCACTCTTCTAAGGCAGCGAGCCCTAGCAATCTCATCTAATGGTGTCAGGGGTCAGCCCACGATTTTTTGTGCTGTGCTTCCCACCCTATGCAATGTTTTTCTATCTGCGGCTGTCAAGCCAGCATGCAATACTGTGATGCAATAAGTGAGGATGCTTTCCATTGTGTAATCTAGTCTTTACAACACAACATAAGAGATATGACCAGGGCTTGGAACCTTTCCATTAGTTCATGATTATGAGTTCACCAAAACCACCAGCTTGTGCATGGAGGATGGACAAATTCACATGTCTTACCAGAGGGGCCTGAGGAATCCACAAAGCTTTGGAAAGGCACTTGGGTTTTGCCAAATGTTCTAATGGGCAGTTCTGCTGAATGTTTCATTGATCTCTGGAATATGCAGGCAAACAGGTTATTAGATAGAATTGACTTTCTATATTACCTTCCTGTCTTCTGAAATTGTAAGATCAAACTGCCCAAAATTCTAAAGTATTGTGGTGTCTGCCTTTAACTATTTCAACTAAGGAACTGAATTGATTTCAAAGTAATTCCAAACAAACGCCATCTATTGTGCTAGACATCACACTCATGTTAAGATGCTTCCCAATTCCAATTCCATTTACTGTTGCTGGAATGTATATAGTAAGTCATCACATTCTCAGGCCAATTCCAAATATGCTGTATCAGAATATTCCATTTATATTTATTTATTTCAAATTACATTACTATCTGCTAAGCAATTCAGGCTTGCTAGGAAATATTAAAGCAATAAAAAGGAAAATAAATGAAACATACCACACCAGAGAACTTGACACACACTTGATCATTAAAATAGGCTTATCTAGAATCTTAGCTCAATTGGAAAGGTTGCTTGATTTTGGTTAGCTTCTTGTATCAATCCAGCTTTTGTATTTAAAAATTGTATCAATTTCTGGTGGATATATAAATTTGATTAAGAATCTTGATTATAATACCTAAATTTAATACTAAATTTCTGAGCAAAAAAAGACCAACAATATTAAAACACAAGTATAATTTATGAGAGAAGTGGAGGCATGGAAACAATTGATCTTGGGGATTGAAATCGAGGGTAATAGTCATCATATGAACAATGGTCATGGAGTAATAGAGAGTAATAGACGTTTAAAAACCATCATAAAATATTCATAACCTTCACTTCTACCAATAACATTCAATAACCACTACTATCATATATTTGTTGGCAATTTCAAACTTTCAAACTTACATGACAAACTTTATATAGTAATAAATCACTTATCCCTTTTTTTCCCCTTTGGTTATAAATAATACCTGGTGTCAAAAGAACTGTTCCCCTATGAACCACACAATTTATAAAGCAAGAAGTTGAAAAGAATGCATATTTGGACCCAGCTCATAATTGTTTTTCTGGCTGCCGCTTGCTAGTTGACTGCCTTCTTTCTCTTTCATGCCCTGCCGTGCCTACAAGCACATAATTGTTATCAGATGACTCACTGTCAGCCCTTCAAGGTAGTCCAGACAGGAAACTAAAATCCTGCGTACTAAACTCCCTTTATTTCAAGGTTACAGTAACAGAATCTTAGAAGTCTGAAAACATCCCCCCCCCCTTCCTTTATTTTCCAGAGAATTGGGAAGGGCCCCATCTTTACTCTCATCCTTTTGTTGAACTCTGATTCCACTTATAGACCTGAATTGAGGTTCTGGCTCTTTCTCCTGTCTTCCAGGATTGTTCTCACTGCCCATCATATTCTCATTGCTTATTACACTTATCCACTTGGCTACAACTCACAAGTAACTTAGATGCCTCCCCCCGCCTCCTGGTGGTACTTGTTCTCTGTAAACATTTAGATTTCAGTTCTATACAAATCATTTCTTAAACCATGTTCAGTAGCACGCCAACATTCTCCAAGTAAATATACAATTTACCACAAGCTAGTTCCAAAATAAAATATGAGCTTAAGTGAAAAGACATTTAAAGGACAACTCTCTTTGCCTTCAATATATTATTTAAAAACTGAACTTTAACATTCCCTGCAACTAAAACTAAATACAAAAATAAACTAAATGTTATACTCATTGTAAAACTTTTAACAAATCTCACTCCAGAAATGGATGGAATATGCCACTGGGTTTTAATGTATTTTAATATTTAACTCTGTTTAAATATATCAACATGCAAGCTCATGCACTCCACTTTGATTTATAAACTAAATGTACCAGAGTATATAGAATATCTTTTTATTTCTTTGATTTTCCCCCTTTAACAAAATGAATTATAGGTATTCTTAATTGAAAAAGTAGCATTCCACAATCTTGAACATTTTAAGAAACAACAGGAGAGAATATCCAAAACTGACATTTTGATATTTTTATCAAAATTTATTTTAGGACAATAAATAATGAAGCTTAAATAAACAGGCAGTTCCCATTTGCTAATCACAATTGGGACCACCAACTCTGTCACTAAGTGTGTGATCATTAAGCATGTCACATGACCATGTCAATTTATGATATCACTGCTGGCTGTGCTCATTAAGAGAATCGCCCACAGTAGTTAAGTGACTGTGACTTGCAACTTCCTGATAGCTTCCCCAGTTGTTTTGCTTGTCAGAATCCAGCTGTGAAAATTGCAAATGGCAGTCCCACGTAAGTGCTGGGATGCTGCAACATCCAAAATTTTGAGGACCAGTTGTAAATCTCCATTTACAGCACCATCGTAACTTTAGGATGGTCACTAAATGAGGATCGATAGGCGAGGTCGACCTTTATTATTAATACGTTTTTCTTCTCTGGAAAAGTAATTAGTAGAAATGTGAATCTTCCATGAAAAAATAAGTATTTTGTGACCATTTTATGAGATGGGTATGAAGCTGTAAAGATTTAAAAAAACCTAAAAAGTATAGTGTATGAGTGAAGCAAAAATAAACAAGTGTGAGTAGCCATTCCCATCCTGGAGCTATCCAGAGTATTTGGTTTACAGGTCCCTGAATTTCTAGCCAATAGGCCCAGTGGAAAATGAGTAAATTTTAAAACAACATCACAAAAAAACAGAAGACAAAAAAGTTTTGAGCTGTATTCCATAATAAGTGGAGCAAATAAGACAGCAAAATTAGCATACAATTGAAAGTGTGATTTAATAGAGTATTCGCCGTGACCCGACAAAAGCGTGCGGACAAAACCGCGTCGCTAAAACCGCAACATCATCACCGCGGCAACAACAGCGCGGCGACAGAAAGCCGATTTAAGTTAAGGTAAGGGTTAGGGTTAGGGTTAGGGTTAGGTTTAGGGTTAGCATTATGTTTAGGGTTAGGGTTAGGGTTAGGTTTTGAATGCTAGTAAAAGCATTTTGCTGAGCACTTCGGAGGGCGCGGATTTGCCCTCCGTGGTTATGTCGGCACGCTAGGGTCGCCTTTTTCCTTAGCGCTTCGGACGGCACGGATTTGCCCTCAGCGGTTATGTCGGCGCGGAAAAGGGCTTCGCGGTTTTGTCGGTGACCCGTATTCGCTATTCCCAATTATTTTATTAAAATTTAAGAACCACCCAAGCAACTTCACGGTTTATATTTTAAAGTATGGTAACAGCAGAAAATTGTCCATGGAATGAAAGTGTGTGTTACAGTGTCATTGGCACAATGGCATTTTTAATGCAAAATGCAGAAATCTAGAGGTCTTAAGATTCTTTAATTACTTGTGTCCGGGTCATATGCGGCAGTTTGATAATAACACGAACTACACAGCAATAAAAACTGAACAGGAATCTAGCAATTATTTAACTTACATAAGTTGTTTTATAGTCTGGATAGCAAGCCGGCATTTCAAAGGGTGGCCCACTCCCCATGCATAACTTACTGCTTAGTTTTTGGGGGAAATTCCAATTGGAATTTAGTGAACTCTTCTCAGAAGAGTAACTTTTTGACTCTCTGTTTATTATTATTTTTATTATTATTATTCTTTTGAAAGCATCCAGACGAGAAGAGGCTGGAAGGGCTATCCAAGCAGCTAGACTGGGATGTGCGCAATATTCAGCGTTGGTTTCGACAGAGACGCAACCAGGAAAAACCAAGCATTCTTAGGAAATTCTGCGAGAGCTTGTAAGGAATTCTTTTCCTCCTCTTTGTTTCTATTTTTCCTCACTCATGTCTCGATGGAAGAGAAGTCTCTTCATCTCAAGTCTCATGGATTTTGGGGGATCGCTGCAATATTGTATATTGTTTGCTAAAACGGGTACAATCATCTTCCCCTTTCCAAATTGCTTTTGTTTAATATAATTGAAACACATTTTCTTTGGAAGCAGAGAAGTAAGTTACAGTTGTCTAAAGAAATTGGAATCCAATAGAATAAGGATTTCTTTCCCACATTTAAACACAGAATCAACTATTATAAAGAAATTGCTCTAAAAAGTTATTTTCAGTCATTCTGAGTAGGCCTTCCGTGATTGAGTAGTGTGGCTGCTATGATTTTACAATCTGTAGAGTCAGTGGAGCCAAATTTTCCATTTGTTTTTAAATTCACTTCATTGTTTTAGATTTAGAGGCATTAAAGGGTAGAAAATAAAGACATAAAGTCCCTGTCCAGATCTAAACGTCTCTTCTGAATCAGACTGCTCTAAGTCTCTACTGCCACGAAGACCTTAACTCGCTTTCTCTACTTAGAAGGCAGGACTTAATGTTTATTCCTTTCTTGTGGGGGGAAAAGCCCTCCATTTGGTCTTAGGCTCTGCATCTGTAGAAAGTGGTGGCTTCCCATTGGATCTATGTATTTAGAGAGGAAGGATGGCGGCCCTGACAGAGATATGCAGGAAGCATTGCCTTGGCAAAAGGAACATTTTTTTTTAAAGTCCAGAATGAGATACTGTTTGAGTGCAGCTCAGGCAGACGCCTCCCTAACCCACTGAGCTATAAAAAGAAGAGGTACAGTGCAATCAGACATGTAAGAATCTCTTATAAGCTCTACATGGGGCTGCCCTTGAAGAGTATTCGGAGACTTCAGCTTGTCCAGAATGCAGCTGCGCGAGTGATCGTGGGTGCACCTCGGTACACCCACGTTACACCTATCCTCCGCGAGCTGCACTGGCTGCCTATTGGGCTCCGGACACGCTTCAAGGTGCTAATCGTTACTACATGGTATTGGACCTGGGTACTTGAGAGACCGCCTCCTGCCGATTACCTCCCAAAGACCTATCAGATCCCACAGACTAGGCCTC